AGCATGCTTGGTATGTGTAATGAACATGTGGGAATTTTTTGGGCCATGCTAACTTACTATTGGGAATAGACTGGTTATAAGCGCAAGCAGAATGAAGTGGATGAAGACACTGTTAGTCTTGAAGAAACATACGAGATTGTTACGGATGCTGAGAAGTGGTATTTTCTCCATTGCAAAGTGAATGGCGACAAAGGGACCAAATTTGAGTTGACAAGGCAACCAGTCAGTGTTGATCGGCCTGGAGATGATGTGGAAAAATACAAGGCCAGTGTAAGAATGGTGTTAGAGTATATCCTTTGGTTGTTGAGCCAAATGGAGGAAGCAGAGGCAAACACAGGAATTAGTTGGCGATAAGATAATGACGAGCTGATTGATTTGTGCGTATCGATATTTTCTAGTGCTAGCATTCAAATCTTGATATTCATACCTTTCATAGTGTGTTGGAAGAAAAATAGCAGCTTGATAATATGCAGGATGAAATTTTTTTGCTTTGACTTGCTCTGTGTTCTCTTTACATATTAATATTATAATAAATAATATACCAATGATGTTTTTACACATCACCTCACATGCTGATTGTCAGCAAAAAATTCGATCTTTGTTTATTGTAACTTGATATATTTATTTGACTGATTTTGGCATGTCAATTCAAAATTATGATGAGAAGTTGTTTCTTAAAGAGAAGTCCGGATTATCACATTTATTAGATTGCTATATGTGATTAATAATTAGCTAACTTTAATGATGCATGTATCAGAATTTGGAGATGGCTTACATGATTATGAATAAAGTAACAATGCTATACAATTCGTAAAATTTATATATAGGGCTATCCGTATATGATAAATAACAAATATAATGGTTCAACTGAATACGAAAAAGCAATACGTTTCTTAGAGATAGGTTGCAATTGTGGTTGCTCAAAAAAGATTCCGAGAGAAAATTTTGCCGAATTACGTGAAGCGTTTCAAGCTCTCTCTAGATCTGAACAAGACATATTTTTAATGGCCCAACTGAAAGCGATGAATGGTGGAGAAATAACGGCCAGCCGACGTCTGAAAAAGAAAACGCGTACTAATAAGCGAACGTTTTATTATTGAGATCGCAACACGCCACTTTGTCAGAAAACGTATCTCAATATGTTAGGAATTGGTCGCACTCACTTCGAAAATATCAGAAATCACCTGGCGACGAATGGTATAATACCGCGTGTTCATGGTAATATTAAACGAGTGCCGCGATGGAAAACCAAAATAACCATTGATATAACCGTTGCTACCGCCGTGAAAAATTTTCTCGAAAACTATGCTGAAATTCATGGATTACCAAGTCCTGGTAGAAATGTCAATCGAATTACGCAATCGCTTACACTTTTACCAGCCGAAACGAGTTATAAATCGGTCTATCGCGATTTTATTGCAGGTCTCGAAAACGATAGCACGTTGAAACTGTTAAAATATGACGCATTTCGCAAGTTATGACACCAATTAACACCCTATATTCAAATCATGAGTCCAAGAACGGATTTATGTGACACGTGCCAGCATTTTCGGAACGGCTTACAGTACAATGCGCGGGAGGAAGAAGAAGCAAGAGACTTACTGAAAAAATTCAAAGAACATCTAGTTAAAGCTAAGTTAGAGAGAAACTATTACAACAAAAATACGAAATTAGCAGAACAACAGAGAAAATTGGTAGAGGAGCATTTTATAACAAGAGGTAAAGCTGATTATTGTAGTGTTGATGCGACTGCTCATTACAGTTACGATTGAGCACAAAATGTTCACGTTCCCCATTCCGATCAACAGGTAAGTAAAATTTATTATCTCAGTCCGCGTAAAGTACATTTATTTGGTATCCAAGATGAAGCAGTGCGCGAACAAATTAATTACGTTCTCGATGAGAACGAAATAATAGGAAAAGGTCCTAATGGTACACTAAGCATGGTATTCGATGGAATAAAGAAATTGAATAAAGGCGAAAAACATTTAAAGATTACTTGTGACAACGCAGGTGGACAGAATAAAAATAATGCTACCATTTGATTTTACCTATATTTAACAATTTGCGGGTATTATGAAAGTGTTGAATTAAATTTTATGATACCCGGACATACTAAATTCAAGTGTGATGGTAGTTTCGGACTGATTAAAAAGCTTTATCGAAAAACGACCGTAGATTGTGTAGGCCATATCGTGGAGGTTGTGAAAAAATCGAGTACAGCATGATTAAACAAAGCTCAGTGCTATGAAAACGGCAAAGGCTTTCAATACTTAGATCTTAATTCTGTGTTAGGTATTTTCTTTAAAAAACTAAATGGTTTACAAAAATATCAACATTTTGTATTTGAAGCAACCAAACCTGGTATTGTCAATGCTCAGCTGGTTGCCAATGGTTCGTATACTGAATTTAATTTATTGAAAACCAGAAAAACAACTGTTTCCGAAATTACTAGAGAAATTAAATCTTTTTCTATCCTAATACTAACTCCTCCTCCCTTGGATTATAAACGACAAGAATATCTCTATCATCATATTCGCCCATTTGTTAGAGATGAATTCAAAGATATTACTTGTCCAAGCCCAATCTATACTGGCAATGAATAAAATTATTAAAATAATTATATACTTAATATTCCCTCATAAAAAGGATATAAGTATCATTAAAAAAGCAAATAAAATAAAGAAAAGTATGGTAAACATCATAAGCAAACTCGAGCAGAGAAATAAAAACCTATTAGAAGAAAACGAAAATTTAAAACAACAATTAATTGAATTAGCAAACAAAGAACAAAATTATAAACTAGAAATTTGAAATGTGATTAACAAGGTTAAGGAAAATGAAACCCCAGAAATTGCTGGCACTTTAATGACCTTAGAACAACACTTTTTACCCAAAGACATTAATGAACTCACTCTTGAAGAATTTGTTAAGGGTTGTGCTGAATGAACATTGCTTAGTTGTAATTCTCTCAGTTATGTTTCTGAACAAAATAAAAAACTTGAAGAAAAGAATGCCGAGTTAGAAAAAAAAGTTGTTGAATTAGAGAAAGAAAATACTGAGTTGGAGAAAACCAACCAAGAATTGGAAGAAACATTAGAAATAGAGGAGGAAACATCTGAATGTCATTTAGATGCCCTAGAGGTTGCTAAGGAGTGGAGAATAAGACAAAGTAAAGAAAAAGATGACAAAATAGAAATGTTAAGAAATGCTGTGATATGGCAGAGTTATTTAAGAGGCAAGGAACTTAAAGAACTACCATCCTTACCAAAGAAAGAAAAAAAATTTAACCTCCTATCTAACAAAGTAAAGAATAAAGTTAGCCAAACAAAAAAAATAGTTAGAGAAAAGTTTAATGCTTACATTTTACAAAAGAGTAAATAGTATGAAATTGGAATATCAAGTTATCAA